CCCTTCCCTTCCCTTCCCTTCCCTTCCCTTCCCTTCCCTTCCCTTCCCTTCTCTCTTCTTCCTATCTCCTATCCCCTATCTCTTGCCATCCCATGGCATCTCATTGCATCTCAAAGCATCCCATTGCATTGCATCTCATCTCGTCTCATCTTTGCATCCCACCCCACCCAGGCCCACTCCATTCCATCCCACCTCAACCCATCCTAATCCCATTCGATCCCACCCCTTCCAATCCCACGTCAATCCCACCTCATCCCCTTGTGAGTGACTGAACTGGACTGAGCCTGAACTGTCCATGGTTTGACTGATTGCTGTGAGGAGCTGCCCTGGGACTCTGAACTATTAAATTGGACATGATTAAAGAATTTGTTTGTAATAGATTGATTTGTGTTTGGACCCTACAAGGGTTTCAATGGTTCAGTGCTGCTCTTCACAATGGGCTTTCAGCATTACAGATGGGAAAGTAATAGGAGATGAGGCTTATGGAATCTATGTGTGTTCATTCATCCATTCATCCGTTATCCATCATCCATCCGTCATCCACCCATCATCCATCTTTCATCATCCATCATCCTTCCACTCATCCATTCATCCATCACCCATCATCCATCCATTCATCCATCCATCCATCATCCGTCCATCACCAAGCCATCATCCATCCATTCATCCATCACCCATCCATCCATCCATCTATCCGTCCATCTGATACAGGGTTAACCAGTGTACAGGGGGGTTGTACAATGGGGTTGTACAAGGGGCTTAGAGGAATTCACTTGCTAAGACAAAAGTATGGTCTGTACCTATCATGCCTACTAAGCAGAACAAAGACACTAACCATTGATAAGGAGAAGCAGACACCTGGTTTAGGGTGTTTTGGGTCTGTTTTGAATGATTTTGGGTTGCTTTTATCCTGTTTTGCAGCTGTTTTGGGGTTCTGACCATGTATCCCACAGGAGAAGCAGGAAGAGGTGGGCTTGAGGTGGTTTTTGGGTTGTTTTTGGCCTGTTTTGGGTCAGTTTTGGGGTTCTGACCCTGTATCCCACAGGAGAAGCAGGACAAGATGGGCTTGGGGGTGATTTTTGGGTTGTTTTGGAGCTGTTTTGGGTCTGTTTTGGGGCGTTGACCCTGTATCCCACAGCAGAAGCAGGACAAGGTGGTTTTGGGCTGGTTTTAGGTGGTTTTTGTCCTGTTTTGGGGCTCTGACCTGTGTCCCATAGGAGAAGCAGGACAAGGTGATTTTGGGGTGGTTTTGGGGGTTGTTTTGGGTGTTTTGGCCTGGTTTTGTCCTGTTTTGGATCTGGTTTGGGGTTGTTTGGGGGCTGTGAATGTGTACCCTGGAGTAGAAGCAGGACAAGGTAGTTTTGGGGTTGTTTTGCCATATTTTGGTCATGTTTTGTGTCTTTTTGGGGGGCTCTGACCCTGTATCCCATAGGAGAAACAGGACAAGGTGGTTTTGGGGTGTTTTGGGTCGTTTGTGGCCTGTTTTGGGGCTCTGACACTGTATCCCATAGCAGAAGGAGGACAAGGTGGTTTTGTCCTGGTTTTGGGGGTGTTTTGGAGTGTTTCTGGCCTCTTTTCGGTCTGTTTTGAGGCTCTGACCCTGTGTCTCATATGAGAAGCAGGACAAGTTGGTTTTGGGGTGGTTGGGCCTGGTTTTGGCCTGTTTTGGGGCTCTGACCCTGTGTTCCATATGAAAAGCAGGACAAGGTGGTTTTGGGTTGGTTTGGGGGTTTTAGAGCTGGTTTTGGGGTGATTTGGGTTGTACTTGGCCTGTTTTGGGTCCGTTTCAGGGCTCTGACTGTGTATCCCACAGGAGAAGCAGGACAAGGTGTTTTGGGGTGGTTTTGTCCTGTTTTGGTGTTTTTTTGGGTCTGTTTTGGGGCTCTGACCCTGTATCCCATAGGAGAAGAAGAAGAAGGTGGTTTTGAGGTGTTTTGGGGCTTTTTTGGGGGTTTTGGAGTGTTTTTGTCCTGTTTTGGGGCTGTTTTGAGGCTCTGACCCTGTATCCTGTAGGAGAAGCAGGACAAGGTGGTTTTGGGGTAGTTTTGTCCTGTTTTGTGGTTTGCTTTGGGTGTTTTGTCCTGGTTTTTGCATGGTTTTGTCTTATTTTGGGGCTGTTTTGGGGCTCTGACCCTGTATCCCACAGCAGAAGCAGGACAAGGTGGTTTTGGGGTAGTTTTGTCTTGGTTTTGGGCTGTTTAGGGCCTCTGACCCTGTATCCCATAGGAGAAGCAGATCAAGGTGGTTTTGGGCTGGTTTTAGGTTGGTTTTGTCCTGTTTTGGGGCACTGACCTGTGTTCCATAGGAGAAGCAGGACAAGGTGATTTTGGGGTGGTTTTGGCCTGTTTTGGGGGTTGTTTTGGGTGTTTTGTCCTGTTTTTGTCCTGTTTTTGTCCTGTTTTTTTCCTATTTGGAGGCTCTGACCGTGTACCCCAGTGTAAAAGCAGGACAAGATGCTTTTGGGGTGTTTTTGTCCTATTTTTGTCATGTTTTATGTCTTTTTTGGGGCTCTGCCCCTGTATCCCACAGGTGAAGCAGGACAAGGTGATTTGGGGGGGGGGGGGGGGGTGGCCTGTTTTGTAGTTTGCTTTGGGTTTTTTGGCCTGGTTTTCGCCTGTTTTTGTCCTGTTTTGGGGCTGTTTTGGGGCTCTGACCCTGTACCTCATAGGAGAAGCAGGACAAGGTGCTTTTGGGGTGGTTTTGTCCTATTTTGCATTTTTTTGGGCCTGTCTTGGGGTTGCATCCCTGTATCCCATAGCAGAAGCAGGTCAGGGTGGTTTTGGGCTGGGTTTTTGTTTTTTTTTTTTTTTTTTTGCCTTTTTTGGGTCTGTTTTGGAGCTCTGACTATGTATCCCATAGCAGAAGCAGGACAAGGTGGTTTTGGGCTGGGATTTGGAGTGTTTTGGGTTGTTTTTGGCCTGTTTGGGTCTTTTTGGGGCTCTGACACTGTATCCTATAGGAGAAGCAGGACAAGGTGGTTTTGGGGTGTTTTGGGGCTGTTTTGGTGGTTTTTGACTGTTTTGGGTGTGTTTTGGGGCTCTGACCCTGTATTCCATAGCAGAAGCAGTACAAGGTGGTTTTGGCCTGGGTTTTGGGGCTGTTTTGGGGTGTTTTGGGTTGTTTTTTTCCTGTTTTGGGGCTGTTTTGGGTCTCTGACCCTGTATCATATAACAGAAGCAGGACAAGGTGGTTTTGGGCTGGGTTTGGGGTGTTTTGGGGTGTTTTTGGGGTGTTTTGGGTCTGTTTCAGGTTTCTGACCCTGTATCCCAAAGGAGAAGCCGGACAAGATGGTTTTGGGGTGGCTTTTGGGGTGTTTTGGGTTGCTTTTGGGCTGTTTTGGGTCTTTTTGGGGGCTCTGATCCTGTATCCTGTAGGAGAAGGAGGACAATGTGGTTTTGGGGTGTTTTGGAGCTGTTTTGGTGGTTTTTGACTGTTTTTGGCATTTTTGGGGGCTGTTTGGAGGCTCTGACCCTGTATCCCATAGAAGAAGCAGCACAAGGTGATTTTGGGCTTTTTTTGGGGGTGTTTTAGGTTGTTATGGTCCTTTATTAGGGCTGTTTTTGGGTTCTGACCCTGTGTTCCATAGCAGAAGCAGGACAAGTTTTTTTTGGGGCTGGTTTTTCGGGTGTTTTGAGGCTGTTTTGTGTCTGTTTTGGAGCTCTGACCCTGTATCCCATAGGAGAAGCAGGACAAGGTGGTTATGGGGTGGTTTTGGCCTGTTTTAGGGTCTGTTTTGGGGTTCTGACCCTGTATCCCATAGCAGAAGCAGGACGAGGTGGTTTTGGGCTGGGTTCTTGGGGTGTTTTGGGTTGTTTTTGTCCTGTTTTGGGTCTGTTTGGGGGCTCTGACCCTGTATCCCATAGCAGAAGCAGGACAAGGTAGTTTTTTTGGTGTTTTGGGGCTGTTTTGTGGTTTTTGACTTTTTTTGGCATGTTTTGGGGTTGTTTGGAGGCTCTGATCCTGTATCCCATAGGAGAAGCAGGACAAGGTGGTTTTGGGGTGGTTTTTGGGGTGTTTTAGGTTGTTTTTGTCCTGTTTTAGGGCTGTTTTGGGGTTCTGACCATGTGTCCCATAGCAGAAGCAGGACAACGTTGTTTTGAGCTGGGTTTTGGAGTGTTTTGGGTTGGTTTTGGCCTGTTTTGGGTCTTTTTGGGGGCTCTGACCCTGTATCCTTTAGGAGAAGCAGGACAATGTGGTTTTGGGGTGTTTTTGGGTATTTTGGTTTTTTTTTGTCCTGTTTTCGGGCTGTTTTAGAGCTCTGACCCTGTATCCCAAAGCAGAAGCAGGACAAGGTGGTTTTGGGCTGGGTTTGGGGTGTTTTGGTGTTTTTTGGTCCTGTTTTGGGTCTGGTTTTGGGCTCTGACCCTGTATTTCACAGGAGAAGCAGGTCATGGTGGGTTTGGGCTGGTTTTGGGGGTGTTTTAGGTTGTTTTTGTCCTTTCTTAGGGCTGGTTTTGTGTTCTGACCCTGTGTCCCATAGCAGAAGCAGGACAAGGTGGTTTTGGGCTGTTTTTTTCGGGTGTTTTGAGGCTGTTTTGGGTCTGTTTTGGCTTTCTGACCCTGTATTTCATAGGAGAAGCAGGACAAGGTGGTTTTGGGGGTGTTTTGGGGTGGTTTTGGCCTGTTTTGGGGTCTGTTTTTGGGCTCTGACCCTGTATCCCATAGGAGAAGCAGGACAAGATATTTTTTGGGTCTCTTTTGGGCCTGTTTTGGGGGGTTTTGAGTGATTTTGGCCTGTTTTGGAGCTGGTTTTGGGCTCTGTCCCTGTATCCCACGGCAGAAGCAGGTCAAGGTGGTTTTGGGTCGTTTTCGGATTTTTTTGGGTTGGTTCGGGGCTTTTTTGGGTCTGTTTTGGGGCTCTGACCCTGTATCCCACAGGAGAACTAGGACAATGTGGATTTTGAGTGGTTTTGCCATTGTTTGTGTGTGTTTTGTGTGTGGTTTTGTGTGTTTTGGGGTGATTTTGTCCTGTTTTGGGGCTGTGACCCTTTATCTCTTAGGAGAAGCAGGGCAAGGTGGTTTTTGGGTGGTTTGGGCTGTTTTTGTCCTGTTTTGGGGCTCTGACCCTGTATCTCATAAGACAAGCAGAACAAGGTGGTTTTTGGATGGTTTTTGTGGTGTTGTGAGGATATTTTGGTGTGGTTTTGTCCTGTTTTGGGGCTGTTTTGGGGCTCTGACCCTGTAGCACATAGGAGAAGCAGGACAAAGTGGGTTTGGGCTGTTTTGGGGCTGTTTTGGGTGGTTTTTTCCTGTTTTTTTTTATGGTTTGGGGCTCTAACCCCGTATCCCATAGGAGAAGCAAAATAAGGGGGTTATGGGCTGGTTTTTGGGCGATTTTGGGGCTGTTTTGGGTCTGTTTTGGGGCTCTGAGCCTGTATCCTACAGAAGAAGCAGGACAAGGTGGTTCTCCAGGTGGAAGTGGCCAAGCTGCGTCACAACAGCCGACGCCTGGAGCAGGAATTGCACTTGGCCTCGCGCCATCTCTGTCGCTTCGCCCGCTTCTTCTCCGGTACTGTGGACAAGGAAGAGCTGTGACACCCCACCCCCCCCCGGACAATGGCATTCCATAGGGAACACCGTCATTCCATAGAGAATGCTGCCATTCCATAAGGAATGCTGGGATTCCATAGGGAGATGCAGTTCCATAAGGGACACTGAGGATTTCGCATCTTCTTCAGCACCATGGACAAGGAGGAGCTGTGACCCTCTCCCAGAACAATGGCATTCCATAGTGAGACAAGGGGGGGGGGGGGGCACAAAGTCACAAAATGGAATATAGAAATCTTTATAATTAGCTTTAAGTAATGTTAAGTTTGATGTCTTTGTAACAGTAGCAATGGAAAATTACTGAGGTGCGTGACACAGGGAGAAAAAGATTCCATAGAGCAGCTAGAGAACATAGAGAACATACTGAGAATTCTCACAAGATAAATTGCTATAGTTGACATAGTTTTAAGGAAAAAACAGTCTAGAAGAACAGGACACAGGTTTAAGGAGTATCTGGGAACCGCAGATGACCAGGATGGGCTGCAGTTAAACTACCTGATCAGTAGGAGGATAGGAGGATTGTTATGTCTCTGGTGCTAACGAACCAATTAAACTGGTATGAGCATCTACTGCGCGTGCTTCAAAGGCTGCCAGAAGTGATGAAGATCGTTGGAGGAAGTAAACGACCCTCAGAGACCACCCCCACAATTCTGTACGCATGCAGGGAACTCTCTGGAAAAGGATGTAATCCATCCGTAGCCTCATGAATATGTATGTATGCCCAGTGGCTATAAAAGGACGGCTTGTGTGGCAACTGGGGTGATACACGCTACCCGTAGCTATCCCCCGTGTCTCCCGGTGCCGCAGTAAAGAATACCTGCTTGTCAGCTTGAAAACTTTGGTGGTGAGTTTGTTCCTGGAGTTTTCTCCGTATCAGCAGGGAGGCTGTAACTAGATGATCTTGAAGTCCTTTCTTGCCCTAACTGTTCTACGACTATTTGCCCACCATTTGCTCTAGACACCTTAGTGATAATAAGTACTACCTTACAAAATGAGTTTGCATTCCCACCAGCTTCTCCCTTTGTTCTGACAGCAGCAGCCACTGCGTCTGTCAGCCTCTAGCATCCTCAGCAGTTGGAGCTGCTAATTTTTCAGTCACTACAGTAAGTCGTCAGTGATTATTTTCAGACAACGCTCAAATATGCGTATTAGGTAATTAAATTTGCAGTAAGTGTCACTCCGCTTTGCTAATATTAAACATGCAACCCTTTCCCTGTCCTTCTGTATTAAGCCTTTTCTAAAGTATATGTGAATAACTATTTTTTTCCAGCTGTTCTAGATCAACACTTTCTACATCACAGCTCAGTAAGTAAAAAGCACTTGCCTTATTTATACTCTATACAAAAGAAATGTAGCAGCATCTTCAGAAGTCAATTATATTCGGGTGTAGTAGTCCAGTTTCTAAAATCACTTTTCTCCTTTACTGAGGGGATTGAAGGCACGGAGTCCGATTGCTGGTCAAAGACCTTTTTACTTTAGATTACATGGTTTATATATGTTTTTGATCATATCCACGCACTTAAAGCTACAATACACTTGGTTAGTTGCTGCTGTCCACGAGCATAATCTAAAATTATAATTGATTAGTCTGCTTTTTCGACACTATCCTTTCGACCTTCTCCTCACTTCTCAGTTCCTTCTTCTACTTCTCATTTTCATCCCCTTTTATTCTGCTTCTTTTGTTCCACTTTTCTTGCTTGATGTTAGTTCCCCACAGAGCTGAAATTGCAGAGTCTGGCTCAAAGTTAATTCCCCAAAGAATTAAGGTCGCTCAGCATCCTCTGACCACGTTCAAATGCCTCTTCTCCTACATCTCCCCTTTTTGTTTTTCTAAAAACATCACTTGGTTTACCATGTTTTCTGACGTTCGCTGTAGGCAACTCAATAAACATGGAACAATCAGTAAGATACAAATAACAATGAATAGCATTATAAGACCTCCTTTGATCAATGAAACAAACCATGTCCCAAGTCCTAGAGAGTTAAGACAATTTCCTAATCCAAAAAATCCATCATTTACCTGTAACTTTGTTACTCCTTTTTTCAGTTCCTGAATAGTTTTATGAATAGATTCCGAAAAGTCTGACAAATTCATGCAGCACATACCCTCAAAATCTTTACAGCCATGGCCTTGTGCTAATAATAAGAAGTCTATGGCAGCCCTGTTTTGCAAAGAGGCAACTTAGCAAATGTTTCAGGTCTGGTTACAATGTTTTTTGATGGTTGATGTGACAAAAATTGGCACTCGAGAATTTTCAATTTCTCCTTATCAGATTCAACCAATTGCATGATTAATCCTACTGGCTGGAAATCATTACTGACAACCAAAAACTCAATAGGAACTCCATTCATCACACGATGTGCCTGTCTCTCACTTAATGCGGCTTCTACCATTGCTATTGCTCGTTTTGCTGCTGGTGTTAATTGTCTGGGTGCATTGAAGTCTGTGTCACCCTTCAACAATTCAACAATGGTTCTAAAGTTTTGCTGTCAATTCCCAATAATGTTTGAATCCAACTGATATTCCCTAACAAGACTTGCACATCATTAAGTGTATGGATATTGACCTTGATGGCTAATTTCCTGAGGTTCAATGGTATGATCTAAGATTTTCCAACCCAAATATTTCCATGGTGTGGTATCCTGAACCTTTTCAGGGGCAATTTGCAATTTATGTTGTTGCAACACTGAACACAATTCTTGTTTAACAGCTTCTAGGTTACTTTCCCAGCCACCAGTATATCATCCATATAACGATACACTAATAATTGGGGGTGTCTTTCCCAAAATGGACGCAGTGCTACATCAACATAACCTTGACATATTGTTGGTGAATTTTTCATGCCTTGTGGCAATACCACCCATTGATATCTCTGCATGGGTCCTTGTTTGTTTGTTACAACGTGCTTCTAACTCTTCAAATACCAAAGACGACCGAGAGAATTTCCTCAGACGCATTGACACGAACCGGAGACACGTGGCTGACTTTAAAATTCACCACTGATTGCGAATTATCTACATAATTTTAAACTTTCCTTATTTGACAGACTTTAAAAGTAGGAAGGTATATTCTTATTTTGAGTCATAAATAAAAAACCGAGCGTGGTTTTCACTGTAGGTCAGTTTTTAATTTCATTCATTTTGACAATTCTGGCAGTAGCTGTTCAGAAACATTCCAAACCACAATAAGCAGCGCTGGAGGTCAGGACTGCGGTGCGTTTGCAGAGCTGTGTGCGAAGAGGAGCATCCTGACTGTGCTGTGCGTGGCCATGCGCACCGAACGGGCCGGCTACCGTGAGCCGCAGGACCCGGCATGCTCTCTGCTGGCACTGGGCACTTGGGTAAGTTCATTTGGGAAACTGTTAGCAGGGCATCTGCACTGTAATGCTGATGTTTCGGGATCTTACTTCCTAGCTTTGATTACCCATACCAGTACCATCTAGTTCTCTGGGTTTTCTGCAGAAGCAGAGAAGAGAAGGCTGCGTGGAGACCTCATAGCAGCCTTCCAGTATCTGAAGGGGGCCTATAGGGATGCTGGGGAGGGACTCTTCATTAGGGACTGTAGTGACAGGACAAGGGGTAACGGGTTAAAACTGAAACAGGGGAAGTTTAGATTGGATCTAAGGAGGAAATTCTTTCCTGTGAGGGTGGTGAGGCTGGAATGGGTTGCCCAGGGAGGTTGTGAATGCTCCATCCCTGGCAGTGTTCAAGACCAGGCTGGACAAGGCCTTGGGTGCCATGGTTTAGTGTGAGGTGTCCCTGCCCATGGCAGGGGGGTTGGAACTGGATGATCTTAAGGTCCTTTCCAACCATAATTATTCTATGATTCTATAATTACTGCCTATAATTAGAGCCCCATTCTTGCCTCATAGTGCCCAATTATACCTCCATAGAGCCCCATTATATCCCCATAGAACCCCATTGTAGCATCATACAACCCATTCTAGCACCACAGAACCCCATTATTGCCTCATTGAGCCCAATTATTGACTCAAAACCCCCATTATAGCCTCATAGAGCCCCATTATGGCCTCATAATGCCCCATTATAGCCCCATAGAGCCCCATTATACCGCCATAGAACGCCATTATTGCATCATAGAGCCCCATTATAACCCGATCGAACACTTTTACTGTTTAATAGACCCCATTATTGCCTCATAGTGCCCCATTATTGCCTCAGAGAGCCCCATTATTGCGTCACAGAGCATCATTATTGCATCACAGAGCCCCATTATTGTGTCACAGAGCTCCATTGTTGCATTATACTGCCCCATTATAACCCCATAGAGCCTCATTATTGCCGCATAGAGCCCCATTATTGCGTCATAGATCCTCATTATTGTGTCATAGAGCCCCATTATTGCCTCATAGAGCCCACTATAACCCCATAGAGCCCCATTATTGCCTCATAGAGCCCAATTGACTCATAGAGCCCCATTATTGCGTCATAGTGCCCCATTATTGCCTCATAGAGCCCCATTATTGCATCATAGAGTCCCATTATTGCATCATAGAGACCTATTATTGCATCATAGAGACACATTATTGCATCATAGAGCCATATTGTTGCGTCAGAGTGCCCCATTATAACCCCATAGAGCCCCCTTATTCCCTCATAGAGACCCATTATTGCATCATAGAGCCCCATTATTGCATCATAGAGCCCCATTATTGCCTCACAGAGCCCAATTATTGCCTCACAGAGCCCAATTATTGCCTCACAGAGCCCAATTATTGCTTCACACAGCGCCATTATTGCCTCATAGAGACCCATTATTGCCTCAGAGAGCCCCATTATTGCGTCACAGAGCCCCATTATTGCGTCACAGAGCTCCATTATTGCATTATACTGCCCCATTATAACCCCATAGAGCCTCATTATTGCCTCATAGAGCCCCATTATTGCGTCATAGATCCCCATTATTGCCTCA